TAGATAGGTTATTGAAGTTAGGGGTAATAAGACCATCTCAAAGTCCTTGGAGTGCACCGGTGGTGCTAGTTACAAAAAAATTGGAAGATGGATCCACAAAAATCAGAATGTGCATTGATTATAGGGATTTAAATGCAATTACTAAACGAGACTATTATCCATTACCAAATATAAATGAAATTCATACACTTTTCGGCCAGTCAAATTTATTTAGTACTATAGATGTTAACAATGCGTATCATCAAATACCGTTGGCACCGGAAGCAATAGAATTATCAGCTTTTAGTACACCAGATGGCCATTGGGAGTATCTCCGAACTCCTTTCGGCATGATAAACTCTCCCGCAACTTTCCAAAGATTTATGAATTTCACTTTGTCTGGACTGACTAATGATACGTGTTTAGTTTATCTGGACGATATTATTGTTTTCAATTCCCAGGGAATTGAAGACCATATTGTTAAACTTGCGAAAGTATTTGACAGATTGGTAGAAGCAAACGTAACCCTGAAACCGAGCAAATGTAATTTTCTATTGAAAGAAGTCAAATATCTGGGGCACATTGTTACGGAGGAAGGTATTAAACCAGATCCAGAAAAACTCGAATGCATTAAATCATATCCCATTCCTAAAACTGTTAAACAAATTCGTGCATTTCTAGGTTTAGCAGGTTGGTATAGGAAATATATCAAAAATTTCTCGGAAATAGCTTTACCGTTAACGGAATTAACTAAAAAAGAAGTAGATTTTCAGATAACACCACAAATATTAGAATCAATAGATAGATTAAAAAATGCTATCACTTCGGATTCGGTACTTATTCATCCAGATACTAGTTCACCTTTTATTTTAGCTACGGATGCTTCGGGAGTAGGAATTGGAGCTATTTTGTCTCAATTGAGAGACGGATTTGAGAAACCCATTGCGTTTGCTAGTAGAAAACTCAATAAGGCAGAGAAAAATTATACTGTCACCGAACAAGAGTGCGCTGCTATTATTTTTGGAATTAAACAGTTCAGATGTTTCTTGTACGGACAAAAATTTACTATTGTAACAGATCATCGTCCGTTGAAATGGCTTTTGAATATGAAGGACCCTACATCACGATTGGCTAGGTGGAGTTTATTATTGAGCGAGTATGATTTTGACATAGTTCATAGACCAGGGAGAAAACATGGTAATGTAGATGCTTTGAGTAGAATTTATTGTTTGAGTGTACAGAAAGAAAAAGAAAAACTCTTGGAACTACAGATGATTTTGGAAAACGAAGATATTTTGAGTAAGAATGTTCAGGAAGTAAAGGGAAATATTTTTAATTCTCCAGAGGATTATTCCTTAGCACACTGTGTCTCACGTGATTTGAGGATGAACAAAGGTATAGCGAAGGAATTTCGGAAACAATTTGGAGTGTCGGGACTTATAGAACAAAATAAAGACGTAGGCGAAGTGGCAATGTTGTCTCTGCCTGAGCGTATAATATATCATTTGATAACCAAAGTAAATTATTATGATAAACCTTCTTATTTCAATTTGTTTTTAGCACTTTGTGAATTGAGAAGATTATGTATGGAAAATAAAGAGGAGTTTTTGGCAATGCCTCGTATTTCGTGCGGATTAGATAAGTTACAATGGCCAATAGTTTTTAAAATAATAAAAAGAATTTTTGAGGACGTACCAATTAATGTATTTATATATAAATTGCCTGAACAAGAATTAAATTGTAAAGAAAACACTATAAATCTAATACAGGATGTTCCATATTTACCTGTATGGGACAAAAATCTCATAAAACAAGAACAAGATAAAGATCCTTTTTGCAATGCAATAATTTCAGAAGTAGAAAACCATACTGAAGAGTCAGAAGATGAACCTACTTACTATTTAGATACTGAAAATCTATTATATAAGATGGGTATAAGCGGAAATGATAGGTTAGTTATACCAAAAAGGTTAATATTGAAAGTTCTACATGATTTTCATGCATTACCATTTGTTGGACATCCAGGAGTACAAAAAACGACAGATTTGATTAAAAGTAGATTTTTTTGGCCGAACATGCGTTCAGATATTATAAAATATGTTGGTGAATGTGTATCCTGTGCTCGAAGAAAAACTTCTCCTCATATTGGAAAAGTAGCATTACAAACTTTTCCAGAAATTCAAGAACCATTTGAACGCGTCAATATGGATATTGTTGGACCATTAGTTACTACATTGAATGGAAATAAATATTTATTAACATTTCAAGATTATTTCACAAAATATTTAGAGGCTATCCCATTGCCGGATCAGAAGGCTGAAACCATTGCTAAGGCATTTGTAACGAATATTATTGTAAGACATAGTGTACCAAAACAATTGATAACCGATCAAGGGGCGAATTTTGTGTCGAAATTATTTAAGGAAATTTGTCAATTATTACATATCGAAAAAATTCAAACAACAGCTTATAATCCTCAATCCAATAGCGTAGAAAGAGTTCATAGGGTAATTAAAGATATGTTGTCGCATTATATTTCGAAAGATCAAAGTAATTGGGATGAATGGATACCGTATGTTCTATTTGCTTATAGAGCAACAACGCATTCTTCAACAGGCTTCAGTCCGCATTTTTTATTATATGGGCGTGATCCAATATTACCTTATGATGATATAATTAAACCACAAAGGAGACGTTATGATTATGATCAAAATTATGTTTCAGAAATGTTAGCGCGTATGAACGACTGTTTTCAAGTGGTAAAGAATAATTTGGCAAGAGCAGCGGAAAAAAGAAATACACAATTTAATAAGAAAGCAAAAGATCGTGATATTGAAATTGGAAATTTAGTATACATGTTGGATTTAGGTTCAAAAATTGGACTCTCAAAAAAATTATGTAAGCCATGGAAAGGTCCATATAGGGTGTTAGAACAGAAAGGGCCGGTAACATTTAAAATGAGAGAATTATATGGGAGAAAAGAACATGTAACGCATGTAAATAAGTTGAAAAAATGTAATTTGAATGAAAGTACGCCACTGGATGTAATCGACGAGGAAATAGCTCAAGATGAAATAGTTAGTAATCGAGAAGAGAGCAACGATAATGAAAATTTTGATGATGCCGAAGAAGGAGAGGATTTAGTATTTGAGGAAACAATGAAATTATTACCTTTTATGGCAAAGCCTAATAATATTACAGAAAGGGTAACGGCGGAGCCTATCTTGAGACGCTCGGCTAGAGTTAGACGACCACCCAATCGACTAACTTTTTGAAACCATGAATATCGTTTAGATTCACATGTATGTCAAAAAAAAAAAAAATAGTTTGATTATTCATGTATAGCTGAAGTTGTGTTGATAGATTGAAAGAGATCAGTTATTGTTTCTTGAACTATAAGACAAGGATGTCACGAGACTTATTCTGATGAATAAGCATAATGTACTCGAGAAATAACAACTGAATAAAAGTGATGACTTCTAGACGATATAACTGGCTAAGATGATAAAATGAAAGAAACCTTGATTGTCAGATATCTGTTATAATTTATTAGTTAAGATAACTAGCTATTGAGTTATGAATTTGTATTCACTGGTAGGCAGTTGAGTTGAGCTCTCCCGCGAAATATATTTGTAATAAAGACAATGGCGTGGCTTAGAAATTTGGTAGTATTTTATATTTTTGTTGGAACTGTGATGACCTTCATCGCATATGACTGTACGGATTCGCGTGTGAACATTTCGGTAATGTCCATAAAAGACGTGGCGGCTTGCCCAGACATACACACTGGTTATCTCGAAAAACGCGCGGTAAAGTGACGGTACTACAAAAAGACAATATCGCGGAGACTCATGTAAAAACATGTTTGATTGAAATAAGTAGATTAATCACCCATTGTGGCATGCATAGCCACAGTTCGGTCGTAAAGGGTGGACTCTATAGTTACATACAACAAATCGGAAGTGATGTATGTTTAGACATTCACCGGTTCAAGACTTATTCCATACTAGGAAGAGTTATCAATAATGTTGTGATGAATGGGACTACTAGTTCAACGATGACTTTAGCAGGCAGCGTTAATTCCGAGGGAAGATGTGAAGGAGGCAGTTATTATGAACCTGATAATGAGTGGAATAATGTAGTAGTTACAGCCACAATAAAGATAATTACTCGAGATTACCTTGCTCCTGTGAAATTATTGGAAAATGAAGTTAGTATACTCGGGGGTCTAACATGTCCATATGCAAAAGGGCATTGTTTTGATTCCACTTTTGGAGAAACCGTCTGGGAATTGAATAATAGAAAGACTTGTTCAGCAGACCTCACTGTTCTCTTCGAAGGAGAGGGACAGTGGATAACAGAAAAGTTGGAGGGAAATAAAATAACTGGACGTTATGTGGTGATTGAACAAGAATCAAGAATATTTGCGTTAACCCTCGTAGAAAAACATGAGATTTGTGGATTCACAACCTGGAGAACTGAACATCCACAGATAATCATTGTAACTGAAGACGATAATTTCCGAAATGTTAGAATCAAATCTCATAGTCCAGAAGAAAACATTGATCTTATGGTTTATGTAAACAGTAAATTTTTATATGTTGAACAATCTTATAAACGAGCAATACATCATCTGTATCGAGATACTATCCATAGAAGATGCTTGTTGAAGAGAGACATCTTGATTAACCGTTTGACATTGGCACCTCTTACCCCATCAGCTGTCGGTCTGTTGCTGAAGAAAGAAGTTGGTTACATTGGTAGAGTACTTGGAGAAGTATTGTACGTTATCAAATGTATTCCGAAGAATGCAGAAATTCGTAGGATTGATAGATGTTTCAATGAATTGCCTATAACTGTAGACAATAAATCCTATTATATGTCAGCCATCACTAGGATTATCCAAAATCATGCTGAAGAAATTGAATGTAGCCCTCTAACCCCTCCGTTATACCGGGTAGATGGTCATTGGATAGGATTGTCACCTAATCCAATCATAAGTGACCCTCCCAGTGTTTTAGAAGTAGATTCCGAGACCACAATAAGATTTAGCCCTATACAACCTATTAGTACTAGTGGTTTGTATACAGTAGAAGAAATTAATAAAGCCCAACGTAGTTTGACTTTTGGAGTGGAGAGACAAGCAGTTGAAAATATCATAACCAGAAGAGTAGCAGGTTTCGAAGTTAGCAACCAAGGATATTCTACATTGAACATATTTGAGCCAGCAGAAATGGAAAAATTGGCAAAATCCACGTTGCGAAAAATATGGGGATGGTTCACTGATGTAGGGATATTTTTCAGTGGAGTTATGGGAATTTATATGATTTTCAAATGCATTCAGTACTTTGTAGGAATTATCCTGAATGGCGTTCATCTTTATAAAATATTTGGATGGAGTTTAGCACTAATCGCCAGTATTTGGAACACCTTAACTATGTGGTTGGTCCATAGACATTATGTGAAAGAAGACCGCGAAAGACATTCTCACAGCACTGTGATCGAAGTTGGAACAAATGAGCTGACCAGTGGCGGAGTAAATAAACTTTATCCTGACGTACATTGGACTGAAAACGCGAATATTTCATCGGCACCCAGTGCGAAAGTTTAATCGAGTGCGCGACAATGGGCAATTATACGTTGGCCAGTGCGGTCCCCAACAATTTTTCGTTGTAGAAGAGGAATGAATCCCTCATAAATTTTGTACTACTTAGGCTTAGGATAATACAGAAATCTGAAGAATCAAGTTTGGGTTATAAGTAATATAGTATTAGTTCATGTGAATTAGAATAGGTGGGATTTATACATATACTTATGTAGTTGGAAAATGGTTCATGAGGAAAAGATTGCTACCCAGTGGAGTAGGCATTCTTTTTGTTTCGGGGGGGTATTGTAACAGCCACCCTGTATTTGAAAAGCTATAAACAGATTGCATCGAACGAATTTCTACGGTTCGACTAGAATTGCAAAATCAGCGTTTTGAACATTAGAACGACTTGGGAATAGAGAGAGACGAAAGAAAAATCAGGGAGTCGGGTCGAAGATATCGAAGAGGAGTGAGCGTGAGATATTGACGTCGAGAGATCGGTTTCGGAATACGCGAAAACAGCCCTGAAGGGTAAAACTTAAGATGCGAAATCGGTGTTAAAGTTTACATTATGGTTTAATCTTCCATTCATATTTTTGAATATTCAATTTGCGCAACTTGCAGATTGATTTGGTTTTGGTTATTTTTTTGTTATTAAAATTCAATTGATATTTATACTGCCGCGAGAACGCGAACGCGTTAATATAGAGTGGTACTAATTTGTTAATGTGAATATATAGGGAGAAAGAAGGGTCTGTAGCTGAACCTATAGGGATGGTTATACCAGGTCGTCGTTGATGCAGAGTTATTTGGGTGAGATCAGATCAATTTTATCTGCTTATCGTTTGGATGCAGGGAAAGCTCCTCTTCTATGTTATTATTGAGATAAAATTAATTTGTTTTTCCTTTTATTAAGAACCATTTTCCAAATCTTTTAATTGTTGTTTGTTTGAACGGGTTCTATCTTTCTTCTGGTTTTTTTTATTTTTCCTATTTCTATTGTCATATTCTGTTTTTGTGTAATAAGTTGTTTTAATAGTGCAATATAAGTTTGGTTATTTTCCTTTTGAAGTAATGCGTTTGAATACCAATTACCCCTAAAAATATACCCTAGATCCAAACGAATCTGCTTTACAGCGGTACAGGGCTACGAACCCCAGGCATCTCGAACCAGTGGCTTTTATAATTTATATAATATCCGTCCTAGTGCGGACAAACACTAGGTGGTGGCAGCATATCTACAGGGGTTGACGGACTTCCAGGGTTGTCCTGGAGTTCTTTAGCATCGTCGTACGAAAAGGGTTAGGCTGACAAGTGGTCAGTAGTCTCATCAGAGTGGAGGTACGAGAGACGACACAACTTGAGAAGGCGACAAATGAGAGATATGGATATCATTATACTATAACATCTATTTTTTAATTATTATCCACAGCTATCATATATTGAATAGGTAGCTGGAGGTTACAATAGTTCATTTTTTATTTTTTTTAACAATCAATTTTTTTTTCATCAGATTTTTGTTTCACTAATCAGTTAGTCTGTTTGAGTTGAGTATACATCACTTTCTTTTTATATCTAGTTTTCTTCCTAATCTAGTTTTTCCTTCCTCCATTGTTAGTTCACAAGATTATTTTGATCAGGTTTTTGTTCCACCAATAGGTTAGTGTGTTTGTGTCAGTATATCTAATTTTTTTAGAAGTTTTTTTATCCAAATCATGTTTTTTCTTACTAAAAATTGATAATTTCTTGAAAATAGTTTGATTCACTGATGGTCGGCAGTCTTTACTGGTCGGCACCGTAAACAAAGAGTATAGTCTTCCGACCGGTCGGCAATCCAAAAAAAAGAATATAATGCTGACTGGTCGGCAGCCTATACATTTCCAAGAAAAAAATATTTCTGCCCACATATTTCTACCTCAAAAAGGAAAAAGTGAAGAAATTTCTGTTGCTGATTGGCCTTTCATTCATGATACAGGAAATTTTCTTATGCTTTCATTATGCATTTAATTCAGAAAGTATTCCAATATGTTCACCCTATCTCTAGTTTCTTCACCTAATAAAACATTAAATCAACTCCTTGCACAGTAAATGTTTCATATTTGAATCAAATATCCATTCTTTTGGGTTATATACTGATAGTATCTCGGATAGTATTATTAGCACATCATCAATAGAACTGGGAGTAGAACTCCTAGTTAGTAATGATATGTTTGAAAGTGGTGTTGTTGTAACCTACTGAAAGTGGACTTGCATAAACCAAAATAATATATAGATTTGAATAATTATATTCACTTACAAATCACTAACAGAAACCATATCAAACAATCAGGTGTAAAAACAATTCAGGGAGTATACAAATTTGAATATATTTAGCTGTTATCATAGATCAGCATCTTAAATTTAGAGAGCATGCCAGTTTCGTCAAGGAAAATGTGTCTCACAAATTGAATTATTCATTCAGATGTTCCTATATGGTTTGTTGGTTTGTCAAAATGGACTTGAATAGTATAAGCTTCAGTACCATCAGTTGCCCACACTTGAGCTACTGCTGCAGTTTTTCACTTGTTGAATCTTGAGTGCCTCGAACATCTCATTTTATGATGTTTAAAGAGTGTGGACACAGTTGTCATATTGATGAACAGATGAACAAAAAACTTGAGACACGACACAAATATGTTTTATAAGAGATGGAATGCTATTTTTCTGTACCCCTTCATTGAATAAGTGCAGACATATTATTATTCAAAACCCTAACAGTGGGGTAACACCAGAGACACATAATGCTCATTATGTTGTTAAATCAATATTATGACATTGTATGATTGTATTTCCGTGAAATCAATATAGTAATTTGAAGTTTCAACCAAACACTTCAAATGTCTTCTCATCTTTGGGCAACTCAAATAACTGTTGTCCATCATTCTCAGAATTTTTGCAATTTGTTACCGAACGGGACATATCCGAAAACATGTTCGGGGTGAAGCCTATTCAATTTTCAGAACTGACGTTTTGAATCTGAGAATGATGACAATTGGGAAATGTCAGTGGTGACAAGCGTGTCCGCACTCTTTAAAGGGCGTAGAATAATATGTTCCAGGCACTCTAGTTGAATCAATGTTGAAATTCTAGGTTACAAAAAATGCGAAATAGAGAATTGATTATATTATTGCCTTGCCCTAAGTATAACAGATATGGATCAAGCGTTACAATGGTTACCAGTGAAAGAATTTTTGTTATATAAAAAGAAAGTATGCTTGTTACCTCCTTACTTGCAAGAAAAACTACCAGATTCCACATACCTACCCAACGACGTTTCCTCGCTAAAAGTACTTGCCGACTGGACAATTACTGTAGGTAACATCAATGAGCATTGAATAAGAATTGAATATATATTTCAGGCAAAAAGATGGAATGATATTTACAAGATCATGGTCTATAGAGGAAGTGGAGGAATATATTTGTACCAGGTATTCATCAGTACCACTACTACTTGTTGGGTTCAGATTTGCAAAGGCTCTTAAAAGCAGACAATTGCAAGTTTTGAATGGCATTACCAATGTGGAAGGTTTATTGGCAGAAATGAACCAATGCCACTCTGGCACTAGAGGTAGAGGCCGAGTGAATCAATCAGAACAAGTCATCTCTGCTAGTCGCTTATCCGGCAACTTACCCAGAGGAAGAAGAAGCAGGCAATCAGAATATGTAAACTCCACTTCTAGGAAAGTTGTTGGAGAACATGAAGATGTATTCGGAGATTATAACTATGGACTTGATTCAAGTATCACTGTTGATGTTATTAATAATGAAATAGTGATACCTACACTACAGGAAGATGCTGAGGTTGTAAATATCAATATAAAACGGGAACATTGTGTTGATGAATTGTTTGTTAAGTACCAGGATGATACTATAACCGAAAAAAAAATTTCTGTTTCCTTTATTGATGAGATAGGAGTTGATGGGGGTGGTTTGACTAAAGAACTTTTCAATTAATTCTTCAATGCCATTGAACACACTTATTTTCATGGAGAAGATTGTTTAGTTCCATTCTTGCCTCTAAATAAAGTGAGAAAAGAAAAAGAAAAATTTATAATAATAGAGAGAATTTTGGAACACATGCTTCTAACCACTGGAACACTACCTTCTAAGTTGTCAGAAATTACTCTCACTGCAATAGGACATTCAAACCCAGATTTAGACAATTCTATAATACTTGAAAATTTTCTTATGTTTAACAATCCATGTGAGAGATCAGTCCTGAGGAAAGCCCTAAACAATATGGATGACTTGAATTCAAAAGAAATGGACATTCTTATAAACATGTTCAGTTGCCATCCATTTTATGAATTACCCAAAAAAAAATGAAATTAGAGAACAAGTTTTGTCCATTGCAGTGGAGATTCTGGTTGAGAAACCAAAGCCACTAATTGAAACCATAAAAAAGGGGATTTCTTTTGATAAATATAAAACATTTTGGGAAAATTGTGATTTTGCCACTTTTATGGAATTGCAGAAACCAACTTCAACAAAAATTATAAATTGTCTGATAACTGATCCAAACCTCACAAATGAGCAAACTAATATATTGCATTATTTGAACATGTATATAAGATGCTTGGATTATGATACTCTAAGACAGTTCATATTCTTCATAACAGGGTCATACCAGATGCCAGAGTACATTAGAGTTGATTTCAATACATCCACAGGTATTATTGCTATGCGACCTATTGTTAGCACATGTGCAAACTTACTTACACTTTCAATAAATTACAGTAGTAACCAGGAATTGAAGAAAGATATGAACTGTCTCTTGTTCAATGACCAGTCATATGTGTATAGTACTTTATAAGTATCAGTTGTTGCAGTTATTGGATAAATTTCAACCACCCCTCTAACATTCATTTTATCTTTTTCTGAAGTAGTTCATACTTGATTGAGAAAGAAAACACTGAAATGTGTCCACAATTTCATCAGATGACAGTATGTCAATCCTGCTTGTATAAACAAGAGGCTAAGCCTTGTTTCGACCACACAAATACCCATATTCTCCAAATTAGAGGGGTAGCCGCAATCTAGCCAAAAACTGTAGTGTTTATACAAGGGATCTATGAACTCTCATGTATAACTTGTCTTACTTATTTTGGTCTGATGAAATGTGCATAAAATCATCAGCGATGCACTTCACTTGGCACTTGGGACTAAACTATGCAACACTAATTTCGTCGCACCCCAAAATTTAGTCCCTGTTAAAATAATAATAACTTTTTTCTGTTTTGAAGAATTTGAATTCGGATCACACTATTCGATAGCCCAGTCCTTCAGCTATGATCTCATACTCTTTCAAAATATGATGTTCTTCACATAAAGTTGATACAGGGTGTTATCTGAAACTGTGCAAAATGTCGGAATTTTCAGAAGGATCCCAAATGAAGAAAACCTTATTTTTTTCAACTTCGAAAGTAGAGGCATGAAGATGACCTCTTTATCTTCGGACTTTTTTGGAGTTGGTTTCATATTTCTTTTATTTACAGAGTGATCTAAAAAAAAATACTTTTCGGTTTTGCAGTCATAACGTTTTTCCTTTCAAACCAATTTTTGAAATCTCAGGCTCATTTTGCAGATGAATCTTCAGATGAAGTGATATGTTATACAGGGTGGCCCATTAGTGATAGGAAGTGAAGTAACGGCTTCGCTGTTTGAGAGAAATAAACAAATATTCCTGAGATGGTCTAAGCTCATGAGCAGTATATTTCACTTTATTTCTTAAATATTTTTCGTTATACAGGGTGACTCAAAAATGCGTACCATATCAAAGATTTATACGTTTCCTTATGGAACACCTTTTGATGTATTGTATTTTCAGATCACACTTTAGGTTTGAGGAAAGTGATGGCATAGATATAGGGTTTGAAAAATGTAGATTTTTCCAACTTTCGAAATTTTTCGTGTCAAAAATAGCTTCACATTATTGATCAAAACGGCATACATGTCTTCATTTTGACTTTTGATTTAGGTACCATCTACGATATTCAATTTGAACAAATACAGGGTGGTTAATAATTCAGAATTATCAACCACTCTGTATTCGTTTAAATTAAGTGTCAGCAATTAGTAAATTCAGTAAATCAGAAGTTGAAATGGGGAAATGAAAGTCATTTTTACCAATAATGAGTACTTTCAACACATGAAATCCCAAAAGTTAAAAAATCTCGATTTATAACACACTATATCTCTGTCATCTCTTCCTCAAACCAAAAGTATGAAAGATCGATGAAATCAGCTCATAAGGGAGAATCTGGAAATGCAATAAAATACAGTCCATAAGAAAAAGTATAACTCTGATACGACACGCATTTTTGAGTCATCCTGTTCAACGCAAAATATTCAAGAGATGTGGCTCATGAGGTTAGACCATCTCAGGAATTTTTGTTTATTTCTCCCTAACCATCGAGCCGTTATCTCACTTCCTAGCACTAATTAGCCACCCTGTATAACATATCACTTTATCTGAAGATTCAACTTCAAATTGAGCCAGAGATTTCAAAAATTGGTAGATAAACAAAAAATTAAGAATGCAAAACCGAAAAGTAATTTTTTAGATCACTCTGTAATTGAAAGAAATATGAAGAAATTACAAAAAAATCTGAAGATAATGAGATCATCTTCATGCCTCTACTGTAGAAGTTGAAAAAAATAAGTTTTTCTTCATTTGGGATCCTTTTGAAAATTCCGAAATCTTGCATAGTTTCAGATAACATCTTGTAGCAATTTTATGTGAAGAACCCTATGTTTTGAAAGAGTACGAGATTATAGCTGAAGGACTAGGGTAGCAAACAGTGTGATCTGAATTCAAATTGTTCAAAACAGAATAAAGTTATTTATATTTTAATAGGTGCTAGATTTTGGGGTTCGACGAAATTAGTGTTGCGCAGTTTAGTTCAAACAAGTTGGAATGGACTACACGCAAAAATTCAGAACCAAGCTCTATTATCTATTATTTAACTACATTAGACACACATTTTAAGTTACCTTATGAAATATATGAGTTTAAGTTAACAAATTATACAAAAAAAATTATTGAATACCTTGCAATTTGAGTATTTGTATTGATGCATCACCAAACTTCCTAGGAATTATTCATTTATTTTCTTCACCATTGCTATAACTAGGAAAACATTACAATTACCTTATAGCTGTGATAATTTAATGATAAGAAAATTAGGTTTATAAAATTCAGGGTAATTTCAATGTTTATGTTGAAATTGAGAATATTTTTTCAGTTTTTATATGCTTGCCTCATCACTCAAGAGGGATTCGAGCTTCTATTTGAGCTGCACTCGATTGATTTTGTGTTTTGTCAAGTAGAATCTTCTATATGTTTCTGTTTTTTTAGTTGAAACACATTTTATGTTCATAAAGGTATTATTTTACATTTTAGTGTTGTTGCAATAGCTGTGATAGGGTAATCAAATTTGAAAGTAGTTGACCACTATCATGCAATATTGTATTTTTGTATTGAAATAAAAGACTTTTGTATATTCTTGACAATTTATTTTTTATAATTTTGAAATACAATCGGTCTTGATCAAGCAATAGAAACAAATCCATTCAGGTACAGGTTTTAAAATAACATTAAAAAAACTTCAATTCATAACATTATTTAATAACTCTATTCCTGTGATATATTCATTCTTTGGGCATGCATCACTTTCAATAATATTATTGAGAACTACTTGCTGCTGATCATCTAAGTTTATGGGAGAACTAGTAAGATTGTCTGGAACATTGTTCATTGCTGGTGCATTTATATCTATTCCAAGATTTGAAAACCTCTGTAGGAGTCTGTCTTGAAGGTTAGGTAGGTCACTGAAAACTTCTTGAGTAGCACTATAACTGGAATTGCAGTTCTGCAGCATTCCATCCAACCACATCTCTCTAGGGGTTCTACGATGTTCAGTTCTCATTTTATGTTTATTCCAAGCATCTGCAAACTTCTTTAGTGCCTTATTTATTTCAGTCAGGTATACCAAATGCAGAACATATCTATGAATATCATTGTTTGGATCGAGCTTGCCCTCTGTTTCTAAGGAATTGAATTCTGTATAAAAACTATGTATAAGTATAACCTGTAGAAATACATCTCTCCACAATCTTTCAATTCGTTGGTTATGCACGGATCTACCAGTTATGTGACTTGCTCTATGAAGGCCTCTCAATAAATTCATCATAAACGCAACAAACAAATTTTCGTAACCATGATCTGATCTTACCCTTGAGGGGGGACCATATTTTTGAACGCCTTTGGAGAAAATATTTATTACTGTACTTGCTGTAATTGAAGTACTGCATTCAACATAGATGATCAATCTGCTGTATCCATCAATGCATCCATGTGTGATAAAACCCCATCTGAAAAAAAAAAGTTCCATGAATCATAAATAACTCTGAATGTTCTTCACTTTTAATCCCAGATAGAAGTAATAGTACATTATACAACTAGGGACTAAAGTGGTATTTTAATATTTTTAATTTCAATAGCACTTTAGTCCTGAGGTGTATATACTATTTTATGCACTTTAGGATAGGTGAAACGTTGAAAATAACGATAAAAAAAATTAAATGCCACTAAACACTAGGTAGGTACTCTATTTCTAAAATGTTACGGAAGGAGCTGATTGTAACCATATCAACGACCTTATCAGTAACTATGGTGATCTAGATTTCGGGGAATAAAGTGGGAGATTCAAAGTAACTTAAAATCTCTAGGGATTAAAAGTTCCACTTTTTTTTTCCGAAAATAGGGAATAAAGGTACCCTTTAAATCCCTGAAGTGCATAAAGAACATTATTGCAACTTATTAATCATCGTACAATTAATAGTCCAAGAGCCGGCTGCAAATTTCCCCTTTGCGAATATCCAAACGTGCCGCGACTCAACCTGATCTAAGTTAGTGACAGAAGGTCAATATTTTCGAGAATATTCCGCCCCTC